GTTCAAGGATCACCAGCAGATGTTTCAGTATTATGAACAGGTACGGTTCAGGATCACCGGTAGGTGGGTTCAAGGATCACCAGCATATGTTTCAGCATTATGAACAGGTATGGTTCAGGATCACCAGTAGGTGTGTTCAAGGATCACCAGCAGATATTTAAGTATTATGAACAGGTATGGTTCAGGATCACCAATGGGTGTGGTCAAGGATCACCAGCAGATGTTTCAGTATTATGAACAGGTATGGTTCAGGATCACCAGTAGGTGTGTTCAAGGATCACCAGCAGATGTTTCAGCATTATGAACAGGTATGGTTCAGGATCACCAGTAGGTGTGGTCAAGGATCACCAGCAGATGTTTCAGTATTATGAACAGGTATGGTTCAGGATCACCAATGGGTGTGTTCAAGGATCACCAGCATATGTTTCAGTATTATGCACAGGTATGGTTCAGGATCACCGTTAGGAGTGTTCAAGGATCACGAGCGGATGTTTCAGGGTTACCAGTAGCTGTGGTCCTCAAGCTTCACATGCAACCAAATGTGGAGACTCTTTGCGTTTATTTGGCTGACTATGGTCCTGAAAGTCCCCAAACACAGATTGGGAAAATTCTGTGATGTTTCAATGTGCAGACCACGCAAGATCTGATACCCCAATGTTTGGATGATGTTGAACTTGACCAGTTCTTATGTCCAGCGGTCCTGTGATTTGTCCCAGGTCTGCACCCATTCTGTGATCATTATCATTGTACTTCCCTTTGTTCTGCATCCTTTTTATTGATAACGGCTTGTCCTCTGCTATCTCCGGTATGACCTTAGCTAGTTCCTGATCACGGCTTGTCTCTACTGTCTCCAATATGACCTTAGCTAGTTCCTGATCACGGCTTGTCTCTGCTATCTCCGGTATGACCTCAGCCAGTTCCTGACCACAGCTTGTCTCTGCTATCTCGGTATGACCTTAGCTAGTTCCTGACCGCGGCTTGTCTCTGCTATCTCCGGTATGACCTCAGCCAGTTCCTGACCACAGCTTGTCTCTGCTATCTCGGTATGACCTTAGCTAGTTCCTGACCACGGCTTGTCTCTACTATCTCCGGTATGACCTCAGCTAGTTCCTGACCACGGCTTGTCTCTACTATCTCCGGTATGACCTCAGCTAGTTCCTGACCACGGCTTGTCTCCGCTATGACCTCAGTTAGTTCCTGATCACGGCTTGTCTCTGATATGTCCGGTATGACCTCAGCCAGTTCCTGACCACGGCTTGTCTCTGCTATCACCGGTATGACCTCAGCTAGTTCCTGACCACGGCTTGTCTCTGCTATCTTTGGGTTAACCTCAGCTAGTTCCTGACCACGGCTTGTCTCTGCTATCTTTGGGTTAACCTCAGCTAGTTCCTGACCACGGCTTGTCTCTGCTATCTTCGGTTTGACCAAAGCTAGTCCCTGACCACGGCTTGTCTGTGTTATCTCAGTTATGACCTCAGCTAGTTCCTGATCACAGCTTGTCTCTGCTATATCTGGTTTGACCTCAGCTAGTTCCTGACACCAGCTTGTCTCTGCTATCTCCAGTATGACCTCAGCTAGTTCCTGACACCGGCTTGTCTCTGCTATCTCCAATATGACCTTCAGCTAGTTCCTGACACCGGCTTGTCTCTGCTATCTCCGGTATGACCTCAGCTAGTTCCTGATCACAGCTTGTCTCCGCTATGACCTCAGCTAGTTCCTGATCACGGCTTGTCTCTGCTACTTCTGGTTTCACCTCAGCTAAGTTCCTGATCACGGCTTTTCTCTGATGACCTTCCGCTGTGATCTTGGCCTGCTATATCTCTTCTTGGCCCCTGACCACTGCTTGTCCTGCCCACACTTCCATTCTGCTGTGTTCCAGTGTCCTCCAGCCAACTTGTTTCTTTGAGTATCTGTATCACCCATGCTATTCTCATTCCCTGTGTGTTCTGCTCCAGGAGTGTCTAGACCAGAGGCGTAAGGTAAGCTCTTTTGTCATCTCGGCTTCCACCAGCTACGTGATACTGCATCTCCAGCACAATTTTTTTGGTTTTGAATTGAGTGGAGAAGGCTAGAGAACCTCCGTTTTTAACGCTCTCTCTGGTCCCCTTCTTTACGGTCATGTTGACAACATTGTCACCAATAGGGAAACAGACAACAATAAAAATACATTCTCTTATTTGATTAGTGGAAGGCCAAAAGTCCCATCAGCTTTTTATTGCAGGTTTTTCCTCACCTCCTGTCCTGATACAATGTTATTATCAGGACAGGAAGGCTGGTAAGCTCCTTAAACAGATCTCGAATGGCAAGAAAGGCTTGACAAAGGCCCCAATCCTTTTCTAATCAGTCCAAAGCTAAAAAAAAAAACAAATCGCACTTTAATTTTTTTTACATTTTATTTTTAATATCACAAAAATGTCTGCAGGTGAGAGCGAGCATTATCAATGCTCATGCTTGGAGCTTACTACATTGGTGAGTTAAGGACAACCAAGAAATGCCCATTTTTCCCACCGTTTGTTTGGTCTCCGGAAACAGTGAACATGCACAGTTGGCAAAAAACTTCCAAGCTGGATCATGGATCTTACGGGTTCCCGATAGTTGTATTCATGTCTTGGTACAAAGGCCGCATTCTGTCACTGTAAATAGGTTGCGTATTGAAGAAAAGTCACTTGAGGCCCAATTTTCTGACCTTTGAACCAATATCAACTCCGACATGTGTCCAGTGTCATGAGGTGGAATGGCAAATACATGTGTGGGACACTCACTGATTTGTATTGCAAGAACAGGATGACCAGTAGGCCATAACTGCCATCTCCTGTGGTGATCATATGACCTTAGTTTTTCCCCCAACATGGTCCAGAAGCTTGTCAGATATGCCCAAGGACTAGATCATTCAGATTTGGCTTACAGATTAAAATGGGGAAATCTAAGATTATGTATTGGTTCAGGCAGCATGGTTTCTTCTCTTCCTCCCTCCAATGATGGTTAATAATGCGGATATGAATGACGGGCCACATAAGCACTCTTGGCTAAGGGCTAGTTAGTCCTCCTTGAGAATTTTATGGAGTTTGGCGAGATTTGAATTTTTTATACAACATGACAAGCAAACAGCTTCTTCGACATGCGGGCTCACCAGGTTTGACCTTGTTATAAAATGCCAATCACATATACAACACAAACATGGCTGTGCGGTGGCCCTGTATGAACCTATAGATGGCCATCAAGGTTCCGTTGCTTGTCAAAATGTTTAGACGTACGAGGCTTTGTTCATATGTGTTATCTCACTTGTACTTGACCTATGTGGGTCCCATGACCTCAATATTGGGCAAGCCCAGTTTCCCACCGAGACTGTCTCTACCTATTAAAATGGACGTCTTCTAAACCACCCACTCTAGGCCACGTCCTTGATGATAATGGCCTCAAACTATTTAATTCTCTGACTGTGCAATTGGGCCATTCCTTAGTGAACTGGTTAAGCTTCAAGATCTTTATGTTGACCTGGAATGTCAAGGCAACCTTCACAGAGAACATTCTTCTTTTGACTATCTATGCTTACAGCCCTCAGGCCCAACAAACTCGGTTTCCAACCTCTAAAAACAGCTATTCTTCCATGTTTCTCCTACAGTCCCGTCTTATGGAATGGGAACGTGAATTTGACTATATCTTTACGAACGAGGACAGGACCAAATCTTATATCTTACCACATAAAGTTAAAGCTAGTGTAGCTCAGGAGTAGACCTTCTTGATACTCACTGGAAGGTTCCACTGTCCTCATCTTTCCTAGTGTCCCTGACACTAGGAAAGATGAGGACAGTGGTACCTTCCACCTTTGTTGGTGGTGTCACGCCCACATTAGCACACCTTTGTTGGTACCTAGTACCTTTGTTGGTGGTGTCACGCCCACACTAGCACAATGACACACATTTGGCAGGATTGCCTGCGGTTAGCACCATTTTTGGGAAAAGGCCATTGACACATATAGCCAAGTGACTACATCTAATGCTCCCCGCACCCTACAGGTGGCCTCACATTTTATGCTCCCCGGCTCTCTGTCAACTATAAAAAAAGGTCCTTCTTGCTTCCTAATAGCGATAAGGGCCATCAGTCCCGGATACTGGGAAACCATGACCACACCAACTATGCAAGAATGGATAATAATGAACTTACTAACGAAGTAACAACACAACTATATGATAGAAACTTCCAATTTACTTCCATATTGGCTCCCTCCTTGACTCTCACTCCCAAACCATGCTCACACAGTGAGCTTTACCCCTCTATACTGAGCCTCAGACTGTTACCACGGGTAGGAATACCGTCTGTGTTACGCAGTAATCCTCCCTCCTTCTCTTATTTACTCAAGTGACCGATTTCTTTTTCCTCTACTTCTATACCGGAATCTTGAAGGGACTCTTCTCCCCTAGGTACTGCAGTCCCGCACAGAGGGAAGATTACCTGGTTGTCCAATACCCTGACCCCGTGACTCAAAATTGATACAGTGACCAATCAAATGGTTCAGTGATATCAATGTGATACAGGATATCTAATCGCTGCTTTTGTTAAATCAATTAGAGCGGCTGGTGGGACATGTCTGGTAGACGTTCTGCTTCTGTTTACTACCATCTTCTACTCTATACTGTATCTTGTATTTTATTGTCCATATTGTAAAATACAATAAAGTTTATATAAAAAAAACAAAAAAAAATTACAGGGGTTCTCATCCTTCTCGACTCTAGATACACGTCAGTCAATGTGATGGTATAGCTGGGGCATGAGTATGGCTAGAGTGGTGCAGGGGTGTACCTTTGATACCCATGCTTCTAAGTCACGGAACTCTGCACCTTATGGTGCCCAATGTCCAGCTCCGGTCTTAGCTTAGTACAATCTTGCAGACCACATTTCTACCTTAAGGCTGACCTCACAATTTCCTGTTCTCCAAACTGTGCATGTCATCTGCTTTCAGAGGTCTCCATGCTTTCATCTTCTATAATCCTCCATGTTTTCATCTGCTGCCTTGCTGTCTACTTACCTGAGGGGTGATCAACCTCACAACGCAACAGCCGGTGCCGATCAGCACTTTCTTTATATCTAAAGCATTTGCCGCAGCGAGAACACAGAAAAGGCTTCTCCCCCGTGTGAACCCTCTGATGGGTGAGGAGAACCGACTTCGCCGTAAAACCTTTCCCGCACTCTGAGCAGGTGTAGGGGTAGGCACCCGTGTGAGTGGCCTGATGGCGGACCAGTCCTGACTTCTGCGCAAACGTTTTCCCGCACTCGGAGCAGGAGTACGGATGGAAACCCGTGTGCGTTCTTTTGTGCCTCACAAGGGTTGACTTTTGCGCAAAGCTTTTTCCGCATTGGGAACACGGAAACGGTTTCTCCCCCGAATGAGTTCTTTGATGGGCGTCAAGGTTTGACTTTTTCAGAAAGCGTCTCCCGCACGCGGAGCATGAGTAAGGCTTGTCTCCCGTGTGGATCGACTGATGGCTGACTAGGTTGTGCTTGTAGGAAAACGTTTTCCCACACTGAGAACAGGAATACAGCTTCCACCTCCCGAAAGCTTTTTGGTGGCCAATCAGACCTGATTTAGACTCAAAGCGTTCCCAACAAGCGCGAGTTGCCTGGTGGCAAAGAAGATCATCGTGCACAGAGAAGTACTGACCGCACTCCGAACACTGGGGATCTCTATCTGCTGCAGGGGGAGGGCAAGGGGTGATGGTCTTGGAGTGATCAGGAATACACTGGCCATTACTAGAGGGATCATATGGTGGATTGGTGCTCTGAAGGACCGGATGGTCATCTGGAGTATTGGAACATTCCTGCAAACAGTCAGAGGTGTTGTCCTCATTATCTTCGGTTTCACCTCCCGGAGAGACAGCTGGATGCTTCTCTGCATTGTTCCAGTTTTGTTGTCCATCTGGTGGAAAAAGAAATGGAGGGGAACAAGTACTGGTTATGTGTTCTTCAAAGCCAACAATCGTCCTTTCCCCAACCCAACCAAAGGCAACAATCATCCTTTCCACAACCCAACCAAAGGCAACAATCGTCCTTTCCACAACCCAACCAAAGGCAACAATCGTCCTTTCCACAACCCAACCAAAGGCAACAATCGTCCTTTCCACAACCCAACCAAAGGCAACAATCGTCCTTTCCACAACCCAACCAAAGGCAACAATCGTCCTTTCCACAACCCAACCAAAGGCAACAATCGTCCTTTCCACAACCCAACCAGAGGCAACAATCGT